CGCTGGTGTTTGGCTATACATTCGATGAATCAGGCTTTCTTAGCACAAAATCTTTCTCAAACACCGGCTACGAAAGCACCACTTTTACTCGGCTTTTTGTCCTGGAATGCCAAAATTCACAGAAGAACCCAGATTTTGCGAGAGGGAGAACCGTCTGGGCTTGGAAGTTCTGGATCCTTCGAAGAGGTTGATGATTTTCATGGAATTAATAGACTTCATCGCGTCCTTTTTGTACAGAAGCTGCTCAAAAATGGCGTCGTACTGCTCAAGACTGGCCTTGAATTGGCCGGTAGTTTCCAACCGCCTCCGGGAGTTTCCTTGAAATGATAGCATAAAAAAGGATACTTTTCCTATATCGGCTAAGCAATGAAGGGTAGTCAAGGCAAACATAAAGGGTAAGTTTGTGGATATTCTAATAAGAGCAGTGCCAAATCAAGGCACCAAATTGGGCTCTCTCTCTCTCTCTGCGTCAAAAACCTAATTATAAACTGTATAAAAATCACCTAATAGTTGGTCTCACCGTAAGTTGAAGGGGGTTGTCAAAGGGCTGTTACTGTAGCTTCGTGCAAATAAATCCTCGGCTCAATCCCGCGACCCGATGCATACTTCTTGAGCTGTCGTCTGTCATGTGAAGGACATCGCCAGAGCAGTACACAATGCTTCACGATAATTCAGCTTGCACGGTCACTCTTCCTGTCTTCGCGCTTGGCGAACTATCGTAAAACATGATGTCCTGGTCTGACGATCTCCAGCAATGATTGTTAGGGGCTGCAGAGCGATGAACTGAGGTCCTATTCGCATTTCCGCCTCTAATTATAGGCTGTCATTTTCGTTGCACCACATGCACAGTTATTTACCAATCAAATCTCGCCAACACATCAAGCCTACTTTTGGACCTATCAAATTGAGACCTCACGGACCAATCAGAAGTCGACGTTCAAATCTCGTAATTGCATAGGCATGGAGAATCCCGGACTCGGCGAACCCTCCAGGACCCTGTTTCCAGTGGGTCGTCTGGCTTTTGCCATTACTGTCCGCCATTGTGTGCTGCATTTGCAGGCTGCTGTTTGGCTCTGTCCTCTCTCCTACACCCTCGGTTTGCTTCAGATTCCTCCCGCGTTGTGTCCCAACGCTCGTTTCGTCTACAACCCGGATCGTATCAGTAACCGAGCCGGCCTCATAATCGGTGCCACATTCTTGTACAACTATGCTTGCGTCTGCTGAGGCCTGCGATGGTATAAATCAGTGAGATCTCCGCGTACCAATGTTCGTGCCCGGCTAGGCAAAGTGTTCCAAAGAATATCAGATGTACTCATTTTTTGTTGAACTTACTTCCATTTAGAGTGAAAGTGTTGGGTGAAGAGATTCGAAGGTCGGTTCCACCAGAAG